CCGACCTAACGAGAGGAAGGAACGACGAGGGCGAGTGGAAAACGAAGGGGAAAGTGCGAGTGGAATTAAAGTCGAAGTGGGACCCAGGAAATTCTATTTCTCGTTTCGATCGAACATCTTTCAAGTGGCTATCGCACTTTCCGTCCTAAGAAGAGCTACACCAGTTTACGACTTCTGACTATTATTGTTCCCTTCAAAAACAATGTCTCGTGTAGCTTTATAAAATTGAAACAGGAAACTCGTGAAACTTTAATGACGTTATTGAAACGGAATTTCGTGCAACTGCAACTTGTAGTTCACCGTGAGAGAACGATATCCCTCCGCCGATCTTCGAGAGACTTTCACCGGGAAGAAGTGATTCCGGGCACGAAGCGCGGAAATTAGTTTCCAGCTGTAATTACGAGGATCGATCCGGCTGCCCTCGTTCCAGAACAAGTGGGAATAATAAGAGGCGGTTGAACGGAACGAATTCGAAAGGAGCCGAGACAGGGTCGATAACCAATTAGCGACAAGGGTCGGAATCGCTTGTAAACGGCGCGACGCGGACGACAACGCGGCTAGCTGGGAGCAACGAGTAGGTTTCCAGGGCACCAGTCTTACATTTTCCAACCCCTACAGTTTAATCCGCCCGCTTGGTTCACCGGATTAACCACTACATTCCTCGTAATTGCCGTTTCATAATTACGTGTGCTCACAGAAATTCCTAATTGGAATCGTACTTACACAGATCCTCTAAATTCTAATAAACAGGATAAATCATTAATATTGTATGAAACGTAAGTGTATGAACACTGTTTGCAGTCTTACAATATTAAAATACTGAAAAATGTAAAAATATGTGGGAGGATGATCCGAGCCACACGTGGAATATTTCACGGTAGCATAAAGGAGAGCTGACGCACGACACACGTCACGCACACGCGAACCTCGGTAGTGCACACGGCCGATGGACCGAGCGAGGGATGCATACCAAGCAGGCTTTTTGCCCGCTGGCAAATTTGTCAATGGACCCTGGGGTGCCGAGGAGAATCCCACCCTCGCCACCGCGTCTCTCCCTCTTATCTCCGCGACGCGTCGATCATCCTTGACGACTGTACCCGAGCCTGTCTGAGAAAGAGATGCTCGATCGAATCTCCATTTCCACACAAAAATCTTAATGGAGGATAAAGTACATGAAATCTGGCGATTCAATGACGTTTCTCTTTTGAATAATCGATTGTCGAGTAAAATTGATGGGAAGAATGAATTGTAAATTTAGAATTTGTGTGAATGACTGCATAATCTTTAATTTCACTTCTGTTATTCCTACATCATTTTATCTCGTGACAATGAATAACAGTAGGTTTATATTTAAGGATGTATTGGCTATACAGTCAATCCCAAAAGTTTATGCACTTTAGAAACGCATTTTTTAAAAAGAAATCAGACGTCGGAAGAACATTGC